GTGTGTTGCTGCCGCATCTGCTCGACCTGATCAATCAGCCTCCGTAATGCCGCTTCATTGTCCATGATAGTCGTATGATCTGCGTCTTCTGTTGCGCGTCTGCTATGGCTTCTGGTGCAAACCATAAGAGTGGCCGATAAGATCTGTCTTGATCGGCTCCACGGTGGACGTCAAATGTTCTTACCGGAAATCTGCTGTAGAGCTGATTCGCCAGGTAAGATCCGTGAGCCTCCTTCACGGGGACGCTAGTGCTCCAAGATGGGGGTGGTACCTGCAAAAGAGACTCCGATGCTAAAGTTAGTGTTTGTGGGAGTATGAATCTCGTATAAGTAATGCACGTACCTTAGTGTGAATTAGGGTTGCTTTGGGCCTTGGGCCTGAGATAAGATGTAATATGATTAGATAACGGACCTCGTTTGGAGCGAGATTCTCGGGAATCGGTTATGATTCACTTAAATGCCGAGCTGATGCCATGCAGTGCGCGTTCGAGGTCGGTTTGCGTTGTGGTGCCGAGCTCGAAACTCGGTTACGCAGTATGGATAGTACAATAAGCATGTCTTGTAATGGCAGCAAATGCAAATATTGGATTTTCTTTAGTGGTTTATAACATACTTGACTCACTTTAATTTTTACAAAAGTATTTTATTTATAGAAAAGTTCTTACAAGAATTCAGAAAACAAATAATTACTAGTTTCATAACGTTTATTTAGAGCTCCAAGGAGAGGTGAGGGACCGTATCTTAAAAAAGAGTAGCATTTAGAGTGCATTAAGATAATAGTTTAGACAAACATAGGTGTCAACGTAAAATACTAAATCTTATGTCGAAAAAAAAAATCTACATTAATTAGTACTATAAAAGTAAAAATATGGGTGGTTGATCACTGATGCAATGGTTCTGCGATGTAACATGTGAATTTAATAAATAATAATTTAATCACAAATTGTTGTACTGTAAATTTATTGATCTTTATAAATGATAAAAAAAATCCATTTTTGTGTGCAGTGAGATTGGCATCAATTAGAGGACTTATGCATCTTTCTCGTTATTTGTCTTCTATCTGTTGTATTTTTTCTTTGTTGAGCTTTGTTTCTCTTTGGGCTTGTATGCTGTGCAGGGATTTGGGCTTTATAGGCTGGATGTAGTGCAAATTCTCCTATTTGCTGCGTTATGTGTGATAATGGCCGCTCTCATTGTGTACCCTGGATCACATTTTTGTCTCGGCTAGTTCTTGTATCTTGGTTTTCACGGAGACATACATGTTTGGAATATCCTTTGCATTTCCACCGGTGCAAAGACATCTCCTCTTTCCAAAACCCAAAAATAACAAGTAACAATGTTACTTTTTCGTTCAAGGGGACATTTAAAGGCTTTTGACAATGAACCAAACACTCTCTAAGTCATTCTAGATAGTGTATTCATACATCTCATGTTAGTTCATCTGTGTTTTTGGCATATAACAGACTACACTTTCATCTTTTTCTTTGTAACCTCATGTTTTGCAAAGCTTGCATCTCTTCCCATGTAATTCCACCTTGGCTATGGCTAGTCTAATTTGTACCTTGTAGCACTTCATTGTTAGCGTGGATAACATGGATATGTTCTCTGAGTTGGAGTGACCATGATTAGAATAACACGATGAAGATCATAATGATGTTTGTTATTGAGCCTGAAATTCATTTGTTTTGTCTTCGATGTACTTTTGAGGATTACATCCAAATTTCTCATTAACAGTTTAGCTGGAAACCCTATGTAAGTATTGGTGTTGGGAGTTCATTATGAGGAAGGAGTTTGATGGCACCTTTAATTTGACAAATGACACATCGAATCTGCTTCTGCCCCATCCGTCATCATGGCCAACATTTCATTCCCTCAAATTGCTTTCAGTCATATAATATTTCACAGTTCACAATAACAAGTAAATAATTATAAAGTAACCAACTTTTACCTCTTTCTGAAAGTCAACCCAAAAGTTGGGTTTTTTTTAATTATTTTCTCTTGAAAAACTTAGAATCGAGGTGAGCCATGGCGCATAAGGTATTGACTATTGAAGTCATGGATTCACATTCTAGAAAGAGCCTTTTAATGATCTACCTTTTCTCAAACCCCACCAGGTGGAAGCCTCGTGCACTGCACGCATCTGCCCCTTTTTAAAAGCTTCAGTTCTGTAAGTACTTATCATGACAGATGAAGATTTCATGCTTTGTATTCTAGTCACTAGAAAGTAGAACAACTATAATGGGTGGAGCACCTACAAAGGAATCTAGGTCCCTGTTTGACATGTCTATCATAGAATTTGTTCCCCCATGTTCTATGGTGTAAACTTATTAGGCAGTAAGTTATGTAACTGATATGACTCAAACCCATTAGCCACTCCTAAAAGATTGAGACTTGAGAGCTTGTCTCTGTTCGTTGGCAAAATCCATCACCGCACCACACACAATAAACAAAATCTTATTTTCGGCAAAAGTGTCCTGAAAATCTCAAAATGATGCACTTCTATGTTTGATCGCTAATACAAACTCGTCCTTATTGAGTGGCAGAGCCTCATATGAATCATGGCTTAAGTAGTACATCGATTTAAACCACCTTAATTTGTTCTATGTGAAGCACAAAGTTAACTTGGATTTTTAACTAGTGATACATATATTAAAGATCTTATTTTCTGGTCTAGGGTAAGCATTAACAAATTAAATTAAATTAAATGCTTAGTTAGAGTTAAAAATCTTAATCCGTTAACATTTCATTAGTCATTATGTGTTTATTTGTTAAACCATCAAAATGTTGCATAATAACTTAATATTTATTGTAATTTTGCATTAATTTAATATTAAGTTTTTGATAATATTTCACTTCTTTAATTAAGTGTGCAACAAACAAGAAAAATATAAAAATAATAATAATAATAATGAAATTAGTGCAATTAAAAGATTAAACGAAACAATAATGAAGGGTGAAGATATGCACAACCTTATTTGACATATGCATGACCATACTTCAAAAGAAGCACACCCAAATGTATGACCATATTTTCTTCAAAACACTCATGAACAACAAAATACATTCACACCATTGATGCAACACACTTGTATTTCTTGTTTTAATGAAGCACGTCTAACTTATTAAGCATGAACATGCTTGTTGAGATGTATGGTTGTACTTAAAATTTCACCCTGATTTATAATTATAAGTAGAGATGTCCATACCATAGTATAATCATCCAACTTTATCAAATTCTTAGTTTTAATTTTTTTTATATTTTCTTTCTTGTATTAGTTATTAAAGTTCTGTGAGAGGCTAAAGACCAAGCTCTTGGGGAATAATTCTTACTATAATGATTAATTCTTTTCCTTTGTTTAATGGGTTCTAACAGTATGTTTGCTAATTCCTTATTCTAGGGTTGTAAACTCCCAATGATAAATACATGAATTATTTTTGAAAATTGTGAAATTATTTTAGTATTTTATTTCCTATCTCAGTTAATTAAAAATACATAATCAAATTCTTTTAATTAACATAAATCTAAAATGATTTCTGAAAATTGACATGATCAAATTGTTTTATTAATTTTTAATTGAATTAATTTTTTAATATGCTTCTTTGTTTTTAGAATAAAATTCTTGTAATTAATTTAGATTTTTCTTAAGATTAACACTAATAGCTTTTTGGAACATACGATTGTTAATCATTTCATAAGTAAAATTGACGACATTATTTTATAATTTATAAATTTTATCTTGAGGATTAAAAATAATAAGTTTTTATCTATGAACTTCAATAAAAAAAATTAGTATTTAATTTCTAAATTTTAAATTAATATTCTCTCAATCAAATTCTATTATCTTTAAATTATTAAAAGTCACGATTAAGTTAATAATTATTTGAAACTAATAATCTTTTGAGTTCAATATCTAAACTTTATTTATCGTTACTGTTACAATAAAGTATGATTGTTTTCAAAAGCATTTTAAAGTGCAATATTATACTTGCTTAGCTGAAAGTGAAAACAGCTTGTTCTGATTTTGGTACTCTCCTTTAAATAGAAGAGTATATGAAAATTCAACCAATAATCAAACACTCAGCTTTCAAAATCATCTCTTGTCTGAAAGCTGGTGAAGAAAAGATCGACTACACAAGTCCTCAATCTCTTGGACGGAGATTTCAGGATACTCGGGTGAAAGTACTGCACAAATTATGGAATTGTTTATCTACAAAGTTCTTTCTTGCCATAGTTAAATGGGTTTTTATACATTTCGTGTTGGGTTTGATTTGAGTAACTGGATATTTAAAGTTGTATCATTCCATTCAACCAACTACCAGCAAGAATATAAATGTAACCCCAACTTCAAAAGGTGGTAGTGTTAACTAGCGATTCCGTTAACATGTCAGGAAGCAGTTTTCTAAAGAGCAACTGGCTGATTATCATAAATAAGGGAATGTATCAAATGATGATAAACCATAACACAGTTTTTTCTGTGAGCAAGCATATATGCTCATACCAGTATATGTTGTAGCGGTTGATCATCATACTTGATTTGAATTTATGGCAGGAATCACGATTTATCTGCGTTAACTCCCTTGTGTTTGTTCAAGAACCCAAGTTCAAATGCCGAGCTTTGCAATTAAGAAAGTTGTACATGTGATTTTTATTTTTTTTCAGAATACAAATTTTTATTTCTTTTACATGTCACCACTTGTGAGTTGTGACGTGCGTCCTTATGCCATGCACTGTACCTCTAATACCAACAACATTAGTTTTTACACGATGCTCGCGACGATAAATGATCAAATACAGGCTAATTCAAAGTAGTTTTCATCGAGCCATCGTAAATTTTCCCCCTTTTAAACGGCTCCATTGTGGCTAGTTATCTGGCTTTCTTTAGTAGTTAGACAAACACCACCTTGAGATGCTTCAAGTATTCTCATGTCACAATTGTATTGTATAAAAGCATCTAGAAAACAGTAACTATCTATCTATATACATAAACCACTTAGAAGCACTTCAGCATGAGATATGGAGATTTATATATAATCATAGCCAGATTATAGATTTCAATACAATCCTTAATCACACCAAATTTTGAAAGCTATGATAAATCACAGATATTACCAAAAGTCCAAGACGAACTTAATTTCCATGTGTGATTAGGAAATTTCATAATCTTATTGATAAATCTTATTGAACTATTCAGCACAAACTAGACTCAATATAGTGTACCTAGGTGGTGGTATAAGTCTCATAAACGAACTGTGCCGCAAGCATGTCTACAACAGCAGAACCAACAGACTTGAAGACAGTTATTTCGTGGGAAGTTTTTCTGCCAACCTTGAGACCAGAGACAAGATCCACCAAAGTCCCTTGAATGTGATCCCTGGTGATGACCCCTCTCTGGAAAGCCCCCAGCAGCTCCCCTGCCTCAACGAGCGCAGCCTCATTGTCCACAAACACCCTTCCCCTCCTTATGGCCTCGTCATCACACTCCTTCATTTCAGGCTTGAAGGACCCCACCAAATCCAAGTGGGCCCCATCCTTCAACCTCACCCCCTTCACAAGCGCAGCCTCGGAATTCGTGGCACAACTCACGATGTCCCCGAGGCCGACAACCTCGTCCAAACACCCACAGCCGTCGAAGGTGACCCCATGAAATTCCCCACTCTGGGCAAGTTCCCGGGCCAAAGTTTGGGCCTTTTGGAGGGTTCGGTTCCAGATGATGACTTTTCGCAAAGTGGGGAGGGCTGAAAGATGGGCTCTGATGAGGTGTGGCGCCAAGGATCCAGCACCGAGCATGAGGAGAGTTTGGCTGTCGTGTCTGGCTAAGTATTTGGAAGCTAAGCCAGAGACGCAGGCGGTTCGGTAGAGGGTGAGATGGGTGGAGTCCATGGCGGCTAGGGTTTGGCCGGTGGCGGAACTGAAGAGGACGTAGGTTCCCTGAACGCCGGGTAAGTTGCGGGCGGAGTTTTGGGGGAAATGGGTGACGAGCTTGACGCCGGCGTAAGGGAGGGATGGGGAAGAGGACCAGGAGGGCATGAGGAGGAGGGAGGAGGAAGGGGAGAGAGGGTAGTGCTGCCGAATTGGGGTTTCCAGAATGGTTGTGGCGTTGGGGAGAGTGGATTGGAAGTGGTCTATGAGAGTGCGGTGGGTGAGGATGTTGCACAAGGTGTCGGAGGATATGAAGACCGGAGAAGAGGGTACGGTGGTAGCCATTACTGTGATTCAGGTTCCACCTTCTACCTTCTACCTTTTCTCTTTTACCTCACACTCACTGCGTCAACACACTTTCCGTCCAATTTAGCATCGTCAACTTATCAAATGGAAAAAATACAATTATCGCTACTTTTACCATTCATAAATTTATCACTCCTCAATCTATTCTTGTTTTAATTTATTCTTTCATTAATTAAAATGCATGACTTATTTTTTTATTTGTGAGACTGACTTGTATTCTCTTAAATATTAAATATTAAAAATAAAAAAAAAATTATATAATCATAAAAAATATATAACAATAATGAGTGACTAACTTTTTATTTGTAAATGGTGAAGGATTGATAATGTATGTTTTTTTTTATCTGTAAAAATGATTTGTATTCTCTTATGTTCATTAATCAAAATTAAGGATTATTATATTTTAATTCATAAATAAAATTATTTATTTTATTTTAAAGTTTTTTTTTTTTTTTTTGGTGTTATCTCATCGGACTCTAATAAACACAATTACTTATTAAAAAATACGACGATACAAATTAAAGATACTCTAAATGCGTCCCGCGAACACCCCCAGTTCTGAATAATACTGCTTGTTGGGACGAATGAAAGGCTTCGGTAGAAATAGAAAAGAGATAAAGTGTTGAGAAGAAAAGAAAAAAGGTGAAGTAGAGAATGTAATTAAAGCACTTTATTTCCCAATTCTTTGATACCTTCTGTACTGTGCTTAAACTCATTTTATTCCTTTTTATGTTTACCAACATTTAACTTTATTCAAGTTCTCAGATCCGCAATGAATATGTGCTGCTGTATATGAATTCAATTTATCACAATAATTACAATTAGTTCATAATTGTAGCATTCTTGCAAGTAAATGATGTGGGCAGCTTTCGACCAAAAAGGGGAAAAAAAAAAAAAACATTAACACATTCAACTCAAGAATCTAGTCGGAAAACATTTTCTTCATTGTTATCTCATTCTTCTGGAGATATTAAGCCCGCAGCAACTGTTAATACAGGATTCCACCTCACATGATTCCTGCCTTTAATCATAAGAATATAACCCGTGATTTTTCCATTGATTAAGTTTTCCTATTTTGTTATAAGACCAAGCTAATTAAACGAAACTTCTAGTCTACAAAGGCCAATAGGTCATTGTAATCATCAATATAGGGCAGCATTTTTATTTTTTTTCTGATATGATACATGAATTGCTTTTCAGTGTTATGCAGCAATTTTGGAAAGCCCTACCATTGCATTAAACTATATACCTATACATGATCAGTCAAAACACCTAATGTTTCTCATACATTAAGATCTCGTATTTATTTTAGTGTAAGATCAAATAACTTGTGTTGATGTGACAAAATGATTTGGTATTCTTCTCAAACAGTAAAAAAATAAAACGTGACACTACCACTAGTACAAGAAATGCTCAGAAATTCTGCAATTTGATGTGATAAAGAGTGAATCTACATTGAATTTTAAAGAAGAAGCAAAATACGTGCATGCGTAACCAAAGAAGAAGAGACAAAAAAAAAACAGTAATTAATGTTGGTACAAATTATTAGTCACTGATCTGTACTAATTAAATACCTACCAAGGCATCAATCTTAGAGGAAATGCTCCAACTGGTGGTGGAAAGGCTCCACTGATCAGAAATCATAGCTGCAGCAGAAGATGAAATGCCACCAGAAGAAACCCCACATTTTGCCACCATCCTCACACTCTCTATCAACTCCTTGGTGCGAGCCTCTTGTGCCAAAATATCCACCAACTGTTCTGGGGTGATCACAAGCTTCACTTTCCAAAACCTACTGCTACCACCACCACCACCACCACCACCAATGTTGCAGCTACTAGTACCACTGCTCCTGCTAGAGAATGCTTCCATGGAGGACCTCTTGAGGTGGTGCTGGTAGTCCAAGGACATTCTATACAAGGCAGGGTACGAGGTAGTAGGAACACTATGAGATCTAACGTGGCCTTGTCTCACAACATGTTCACTACATGGGGTGTCTATGTTGTTGTTTTTGAGTGGTAGCAAATAGTAAGATTGGCCTGGCTCCAACTCATCCAAATTGCTGAGTGGTTTCCAAAAGAGGTCGTGGCTTCTGAATATGGCATGCCCCGGGAACTCGTTGGTGATGAAACTCACCGTTACAGGAGCACTGAATTCCATGATGCCACCGTTTGATGTTATCACTTTGATTGCTGCATCAGGTTCTGACATCGCCCCAAAGAAGCAGTTTCCCATGTTGGACTTCAAACCTCTGTGGTGTTGCTCATCATCTCCTTTGGTTTAGTATGATTGGAGGGAATTGTAGAGCGGGAAACTTGTGGAAGAGAAAAGTAGAGCTTGTTCTGTGGTCGGCTAGATTCTTCCTCTAGCTTTCACAAAAGCTTGGAAAGAACAAAATTAAAGGAAAAAAGGGAAACCTATGTTCCCATCATTATGCAATTTGGATAGGGATGTTTATACATGGCAAAACTTTTATCTCTTAAATTTAATGACTTCATTCCTATATTTAATTAGTACAATGACTTTTACACTCTTAAACAAATTCAAAAATACATCAATTTTAATTAATTATCACAAAAATTATCAATTCATGATCGAATTGCAACACACACTATGTTCATATCTTATTTTTCATTGAATACTCTGAAGGAAAACTTTATCACTTTAAGATATTCTATCCAATTTTAACATAATTGTTTCTAATGGAGAGGATGCATGTGATTAGGAAAAAAAAATGCTATTCATATAAATATAAGAGTATAATTTGATAGTTGGTTTTAAGAAACTCCGTGGTGAGGATCATGTTAGGTACAGCTGCGTACAGCTGCCACCACCTTTCGGTTTACCTTTTAACCGATCTTAAAACTCCAATTTTAAATCCAGTTTTTGCACTAGTGAGTTCACATCTCTTAGATCATATATACAAAATTTTATATTAATCCAAAATGATTTGATACTTTATTTTTATAAAATAAAATTGACATAATATATTTATTTCAAAATATATTAAAATATGAACACTTTAATAATTTATGGAAAACAATTTTACGCAAGTTAATCCACAAATACTCATAAATGTCTCACATAGAAAGTTGAGTTCTAGTATGATTATGTGATTATATAATTAAGATTTCATTTTTTTTGCATAGAAAATATTGAGTAATAAAGAAAAATATCAAATAGTAACCTGCTATTAATATTTATATTATAAAACATATTCACATGTTAAACTATTGAATATTAATAACTTCGTCCATCGATGAGTTGCCAATCATATTAAATGTATATAAGATAACAATGGTTTGTAAGAATTTACAACCATTAATATTTCTTTAGAAGGGAAAAAATGTGGCATATACCATTGAATATTAATGACATCACCCATCAATGACTTGTCGTTCATATTAATGTAACATGATAATGAATTGTAAGAATTTACAATCCTTAAATAAATAAATATATATATATATATATATATATATTATTTGTTTATAT